GACCCGAGAGAAATCATTTCTCTTGCACTGGACCCTTGTCGGGAAATAAGCATCAAATCCGCATAGCTGGTGTGAGCCATCAAGTCCGTGGACTGCACGCTGTCTCTGCGACCCAGAGCAACTGGTCATGTTGGGCCTCCGACCCTAACTCTTACAATTGGCAGACTCAGTCACAAGATAGTTACAAAACAAGTTGCTGTGCAACACATTATGGACAAATGGAGGAAGGAGACCCGATTTCGTTATTGTAGGAGAGATCAGCCAGTATAATAGAAACTAACCTTGACTTTGGTGTAGGGAGCAACCATGATGAGAATCTCCACGCAGGAGACAAACCAAGGCAGAAGTATTCGAAACTGCCTTGATTTCGTCGATCTCCGTAATACCTCTGAGCCCGATTTAACATGAGCTTGCCTTCCTGTTTGGTTGCTTGTGTTCGAGTTCAAAAGAACGGACGCATCTCAGCCCTGCAGATCCTGGATACTAAGAGACGGACTTTAGAATTGAAACCAGAACTAAATTCCAACCGTAGTACTGTAAACTCTAGAATAATATTCTTGCTATCTAGAAACGCTGAGAATGCTGACAATAATAACCTCTGAGTGTTTGTATACGTGAGCTATCACTACCTCAACATGAGTAAACATTCACATTCACCATAACCCAGCGATCGTGGAACTTCAACCTGTTGAAGGCACCAGAAAACATTTTGTCTTTCTTAAGAATTTTTTTCACGCACAAGCGATCCAAGCTGCTTCAGGACAAGTTTTGTAATAAGAGTTCTCAGACAGGCCGGCGGACCGCGTAGGTAATCTTTGTGGCACACGAGCATATGTTGCCATGACGACGCTTATAACGACGCTTACAAAATGAGCATTGGGGTAGTCCATGATAGCTGGTGCCATATTCGTTTGCTTGCAAGTCGGCTGCTTACATAACATCGAATCACCCAGTTAGAGGACCAGACAATCGGAAGAAAGAGTGAACCATATAATTTCAACCATTCAGTATGTTCATCTTCATCAAATGTGTTGCCGGAAGTATAAAACCGTGGCTATATATGTAGGGTAAGGAAGACCGTGTGAATCATATTGGCAGTACTAAGCCTTAATCTGCAAACGGCAAACCAGTTGCAAACACATCGGTACCTGGCGAATCAGATGACAACCTTTGTAAGAATATGTAGTCTGACCCAAGGTATGGGACGGCGATGATGAACTTACACAAAGTTCATCATTGCATGGTTTTATAGTTGTCCATGCATTCCAAAGTAGCTGGCCCAGCCTAGCCATGATCTGAATCATGATTGACTTTCCTACCAGATAGTGGTGAGATCTGGCCTCAAAAACCGGCATCTCTATTCTAGACGCTTCACATGATTAAGATGTCAAAATTCAACCCTTTGACTTGGTCTCTGATGCGAAATGAGTCTAATACTTGCACAATCTGCATGCTGTTGAGAAATTGCGTCTCGAAGTATGCGGCATGTTTGCCTTGCAAGAAGGTATCTATATACTGATACAGCATTGAGTTTGGATTTCCTTCATCATTGACATTGGCAATTCAAGTTGAGTGTTCATGCCTCTGTGATGAAAAGACCAGCGCTGAGAAGAAAATGAGTTCCTGAATATAGAGTCCTTAGGTCTCAATCGGATGGGACCAACGTTAGTCTTCGCGCTACAAAATTTGAGTTTTGCATGAAAAGCGAACTACTTGAGAATTATTCTCAGTGATAAATGGTGCAGAAGCAAAGTTGAGAGGGCGGGCATTATGATGTAATGTCGAATTGCATGGGCTGTGCTTTGGATGGGAGCTTCAACCCATGATCTCGGAATCTGACGATAAACTAACATAGCGCATATTCTACTGCGCGAGTGCCGATCACGCTGTGATTAAAGCTCTAAACTCGTGATTACAGGGTTCCACAGGTTTTCCTCGCATGGGATACAGCACAAGTTGCATGGAGGCAAATATCATGGATTTGCAAGAAGGCTAACGTCTGACTAGATCTTCTATTATCTTGCCACGTCTCTCAAATCCTAGAGTTTATGATAACCTTCCATAATGACGAAAAGGAAGTACTAAATCGAACCAATAACAAACTTACTACTTCATGTCTAACTCCAGATCATTCTGACATGATTTCCGAAAATATATCCTGTCTTAAGTTTGAAGATTACATACAAAAGACTAGCATTTAAATAATATCATGGTGCAAGAGAATTTATGTGAAGTGCAGATTATTACTGCGAGCGAGTCATTCCATTGTGATGTAGTTTGAGAGTTAAGTCGAGGCACTGGATTGTGATGCAAATCATGGTCAAACAAAAGAACCATGAATGTATGTGACAAAATTTCCCACTGATCAATCTGAAGGACCTTTGCGAGCTTTGGCCAAGTGTAGCAATTGACACATGTATAATCCTGGTAATTGAAGAGATTACATTTTTGTAATATATAGGGTTTATATATTTTGGGGTTTTGTTCCATACGTTAGTGGAACAACTCGTACTGTGATATCTATAGTTACCCAAGAAGCTTAATTTCGGCTTGAAATCGGACTTTACATCTGCTACGATTCTGTGTCAGCAGTCCCACTTTTCCTTCCGTCACTTAGCAACATCTGGCCGCACGGCCACAACCAGGAGACTAGCTGCATTGTGTTTGCTGGAACCAGTGACTTGTCCATAACCGGAAACAGCCTCGAGCCGATCAATATTTCTTGTATGACGTCGATAACGAAAGACTTGGAATAGCACCTGATGATTCGTGTGCAACTCTATGTGCTAGTAGTATTCAGTATGCGAGCTCGAGAAGGCAAAGCAGCTGCTGGGGCTAGCGGCTACAAGTGAAAACTTTGATGGAGAATAGCTCAGGAGTGACATCGATATCATTTTGAGATCGGAGAAAGTTGATCCTACCGTACAATGAGTTCAGGTTTGTTGCGAGTATGTAGACCTGAAATATCGAAATGATCATCCGGGAGTGATGCAGGTCTTGTTTCAGTGGAAAGAACTACCCCAAGAAATTATGCTGCATCTATCAGAGGTCTGCATGCAATGAGAAACATTTGAACAGATACAATATTTGACTTTCATATGACATCACTTCCTTTTGATGGATTATCTAGTCCCTCACCTGATCAACTTTACTGCTTGAAGATTTATTAGAACGTCAGCTATAGTCAGTCTTTAGACTAGAAGCATTTTCCATTAAAATTCTCTCAGCATGTTCAGTAACTGTTCTCATCACCAGTAAAAGATCATTAGTTTTCCTTCTCAAGATGAATTTTCTCGTTGCCTCAAAGAAATGATCAGATCGTATCGTCGATTTCATACATCTGGTGATTCATTTGACTGACAGAGAATCTTGAACTATCTAGCATCGATTTATTGTTGACAGTTTTGTCGACATTGAATGACAATTCATGGACATAAGATTCTGGATAACACAACGGGAATGTTCATTTGCAGAGCTCAGCAGGGATCATACGCATGAGCACTACTGAGCTTTAAATCCATCAAGTGATTCTTTGACCATCATTACAATGTATGCGGAGGTTCTAGCTCACCCTATGCTGTAAAGTATAAACGTTGTGAACGAGAATATCACTTGCAATATCAACTGCTAACAACTTCTCTGGCAAGTAATTCATTTTTCCCTTTGACAAAGAAGTGATTAAAAACGAAGTGCAAGAAATTCAGATCTCCGTTGCGCATCTACAACTGACGTCTTACAACCACCGGAATTTTTTTTCATGTCAAAGCTCTCTCGCAGTTGTAAGGTTGCGTAGATACGCATTTGTGTCAACAAATTGTCAACGCTGTCCATCCAGTAGGTAGAACACGGTGGTCTTGAATCCACCACGCGTCTCCCTCTAGTGCAGCCCATGTCATAATTGATTTCCAATAACAAGGAAGAAAGCTCTTTTAAGAGAGATTCTTTTGCCGCACTATCCATCCACAAACTTGGAGACTACCTGTTATTTACGAGTGAGTTCATCACTGCTAGTCTTTAGTGAGTAGAGACTTAGTCTTAAAGTAGGATTAACTGCCACATCTGGGTCTGAAAGGAAAATTTCGAAGTCTGCGGATGAAGGAACCCGTGCTTACATGGGCATGATATTCGACAGAAACTTTCAGCTATCCCGGCTACAAGCAATATCAATATGAAACAAAACACTTGAAACGGGTTATCAATTAACTGCAAATACACTGAGTCATACTAATCTGCTGAGTAGTCACACCAGTTTCCACGATCCTTTGGTATAATTTTATGAGTAAATGCTCAATTGAGCCTGAACCTAGCAGGCTAGCGGAAAATATTTGGATCCGTATTAAGCACCAGTGCGATCCTTTTCTCATCGCCCACTTGGATTCAACACATAATTATGTATCAGTATGGCGAGTTATTTCCCATTCTGGATGTATTTTTAAAAAATTATGCCTTGCTTGCCACATAATCGGCCCCACACGATGTTCGTAGCGATTGCAAGACGAATAATTTCTTGAACTGTGTAACCTTCAATGAACGATTTCCAGAGAATTAATGCTTAAACTGAGTGACCTTCATTGAAAGGTTCATATAGGCTTAAAATTGCATGTTGTAGACATTTAGGTGCTGCTGCAGCGTATAACTGATACTATGGTTCTGCAGGAATCAAGTCAAGCTCAGCTTAGGCTTCGGGCAAGTAAAGCGTGATCACACTGCATACACACACAGTGATGTTATGTTTGCAAATATGAGGTCTCCCTCAAGGTCCGGATCAGATGTTGGACTGAATAGTTATGGGTGGGGATCTCCGCCAGATCTAAACGACGGCTTGGGTGAGATCTAACTCATGCACGGTATTCAGGCGTCACAAGAAACAAGTGGCCCAAGCTTTTGGAAATGTATAAAGCTCTCAAACTTCTTCCATTTCATCAAGCCATCGCCTCCTCTCACAGTCCTCAGGCAACGACCAGCTAAATATCCATCTTTGTGGGCCTCAGTCGAGGAAAATGGCCGCTCTCCACCGCTTGAATGTTTTGCTGCTGATAGCAGTAGTGCACATCACATTTGCAAGTCTTTCTACGTGTGAAAACGATAAAATTATCTCCATTGATCTGAAGCATTTAGACCATCATGCAGACTCTCCACTCCACGACGCGCAGACTACATTTGCCGAGAGAATTCACAGCGCTGTGAAGAGGAGTCAAGCCCGAGCTGCAGCGTTCAAAAGCATTGTGGCAGCCGGAGTGACTCCGAGAGGACTCAACTTCGACCCAACGATCGAGCTGTCAACCAAAGCCAGCAGCTTCCAGTCGCCCGTGGCTGCAGCGCCGGGAGGATATATCATGAGCATCTCCCTAGGAACGCCCCCGCAGACGAGGACGGCCATCGCCGACACGGGCAGTGACCTCGTCTGGCTGCAGTGCGCTCCTTGCTCGGTCTGTTACCAGCAGCCTGATCCACTCTTCGACCCTCGCAAATCCTCGACCTATAAGAAAATTCGCTACTTCAGCTCACTCTGCGGCGAGCTGCCTCAAGTGTCCTACAACTGGGGCTACTGCACGTACCGCTACGGCTATGGGGATCAGAGCACCACGCAGGGAGACTTCGCCCTCGACACTCTGACCCTCACCGCCACAGATGGCTCCACTCAGACGGTCCCCAATTTCGCATTCGGCTGCGGGAAGCGAAACCAGGGCACATTCTCCGGCACCGATGGACTGGTCGGGTTGGGCCGCGGTGCCATCTCCTTCAACGAGCAGATCGGATCCCTGATCGGGTCGAAATTTTCCTACTGTCTTGTCGACGCTTCAAGCTCGGCCTCGGAGACGAGCCCTCTGCTTCTGGGAGATGCTGCAGAGTCTACTGGCAACAGTCTGAAGGCTAAGATCCAATACACTCCTCTGATCCGCAACCCGGCGGCCGATACGTTCTACTACGTGAAGCTGAATGGCATTTTGGTGAACAATAAACCGGTGTCGGGGATTCGGTCCAGCGATTTCGCACTCAATGTCTTGACCGGCCAGGGAGGAGTGATTTTGGACTCGGGGACCACTATCACGCAGCTCATCCAGTCGGCTTACATTCCTCTCCTCACGAAGCTGCAGTCGCTTATTCAGTACACTCAGATCGACAGCTCGCAGATTGGGCTCGACCTCTGCTACGATTTGTCGGCGGTCGCGAACCCGACTTTCCCCTCCGTCACGTTCCAATTCCAGAGTGTGGATCTTGTGCTTCCAGCCAATAATATGTTCTTGCAGGTCGATGATCAGGGGACCACTTGCTTGGCGTTGGCTGGAACCAGCGACTTCACCATCATCGGAAACATTCAGCAGCAGAACCATTACTTCCTGTACGATGTGGCGAACGAGCGAGTGGGCATTGCTCCCGTCGACTCCTGCTCGACTTTGAAGACCAGAGATCTTTCTGCAGGCAGTGCCAAGGACGAGCTTTGATCCGAATCGGATGTACATTGCAGAAGTCGCATTTGAACTTGGACTGTGCATACGAAAACCATACCTTCGGATAGAAGTCGGGTGAAAAAAAACATTCTAATCCTTATCTCTGGCAAGGGTTGAATTGTGACAGTAATAGTTCTGAATTCGAGCTGAAGTACACTAGCTCGATATGATGAGTAGTACTAGCATTAATAGATTTGGAAGTCCTGGATGAAGAGTTGAATTGTTGCTGTACATCAACACTTCGACAGGTTTTATAAAATAACTTCTGAAGAGAGATTGTAATTCAGCTTTTTTCTCATGCAAGGTTAAAATGTTGTCATTTTCACGCTTGTATGAGAATCTTTGTAAACTCCACATTCTCGAACGGATGCGATGGTGCGCGTCGAGACTTATTTAGAAGAATTGACTGATATGAAGTCGAGATCCAAGCTGGCCGAAAATTAACATCAAGTTGCTAGATGATGGTGGGAAAATCTTGCAAACTCCTCAAGAGTGACCAATCTTCATCTCCTTGGGTCTCGACTTGCTCTCGATCAGTAGTCATTCCATAACCATGTTGTTGAGCCAAATCAAATAACCCGTACCCGCAAGAGCTTTAGCTCATTGAACACTTCTACGGGTACCCAAATTCAAATTCATAATTAACTACGGCTATGGGAAATAAAGATTGGTGTATGGCAATGGATGAAGAAATATGCAGCCAACGCATAAACACCAACTGCCATAATCAGAAACGAATTGCCTGTTAGCGAAGCTATAGAACATTCACCTTGAGACCAACAAGAAACTACATGCCCTGTCATGAGCTGTAGAATGAAATGTGAACAAAAATCGCATCAAATGTGCATGTAACGCAATGTATCTCTTATCCAGTTCTAATTCCGGTCCCAATCTATTTGTAAGAATAAGGAGTTCTCCGCTTAACCCCTCGTTAATTTGTTAATAACTTTGTTAATATAAATCTCTGAAGTATGATCTAAATTTTCCAGGATTTCCTTGAAAAAGACATCGGTATCGAAGTTAATCTCTCGAGCTAATTGGTTGTTTTTTAGCTTTAGAGGGTTTTTAGAGGACAGCAACTCAATGTATCTTTGTTTGAGATCTTATCGGCAAGCTGGTTTAGAGGTCACATACTCCCCTTCTAAACGAGGTAATGCCCCATATTTACAGAAATCCCGTAGCTCAATCCGTTATATAAACTACCCTGCCTCCTTCTAGCTTCCTGTATTCCATAAAACATGAAATAAAGAAACGAATATGTCAGAAAAGAGAGGGCAACTGTAAAAAAAGATTTCATGAACATATAATCATTCTATTGTAGATGGCAAGTACAAATCATATCACTGGGAGTAAAGTTATGACTTTTTTGCCGTTACAGAAATATAGAGGGCTTTTATCTTCTCCATAATCTTTCAGATTGTTCTGTGAACTAAGTCTCGAATCATATTATCTCAAAATCTAGAAGAGTTCCTTGTAGAAGTGTACATGCCTATATTCAAAGGTCTTCATTACTGAAGACACTTCTCGGGCCTTTATGGAGAATGTGCAGGATCGAGATGAAGAGAACGAAATATAGTGTAATTTCGACAGCAAAAAATATATGTACCTAAGACAATTCTGTGTTACCAGTTGGGCTGCGCAATGAGTTCTGTTGCGGTAGTAGTTTGGCTGGCATCACTCCAGTATTAGTCCCTACTCCAAGTTGACAGACGTGGAGCCGACAGTTCGTCTGCTTCACATGAAAAGTCGCACTCACATATATTACTCATGCCTATGCATGAGTAACATAGTTTCAAGCACACGTAGCCTTCCTCAGTCCATCGTAGTGCCCATGCAAGGTCATGTGAGCTTGATGAGTGTTGGAAGGAATGGCGAACAGCGATTGTATATGCAGCCTAGAGACGAATAATGAAATTCATTTATCGCTGCAGATGTGGTGGAACCAGACCTGGGATGGGCCATGAGTCGTCCTGATACACGTGAGTGTGGGAAAGTCGATATGGCAGTTTGAAGAGGTTGGTAGCAAACTGCTGGAGGAGATGCACAAAATTCGTCACGCAGATCAGTTCCCACCGCGCGGACAGCGAGCGCTCTGTCGGGCAAACGACGGCTCCAGCAAGCGCCGGTCGATCCATGGCTCGGGCACGTTAATTCAGCTTTTGGATCCCGTTCAGGGAAAAGGCTCGAGTATATATTTCCCCAGTCGCGTTCAATTCAGCAGTCCATCTCTTCTCCTCATCGTGCTCACGTTCCTTCGAGATCATAACCCTCTTGAGCCTGAGGTTGAAAATGGCCGCAATTCGCAGCTGCGTCGAGTTCTTGTTGCTGGCGACAGTAGCACTAGTTCACACAGCAGATCCCTCGTTGGCGACCGAGAATGTAAAGGCTCCATTCGTGGGCTTGAAGCATCTGGACTATCACCAAGACTCGCCACTGCACGATGCGCACACGACATTCGTCGAGAGGATTCACACTTCCGTGAGGAGGAGTGAAGCCCGAGCTTCGGCTTTCAGAAGCATCGTGGCCGCCGGGATCACACCGCGAGGAACACATTTCGACTCCACGGTCGAGGTGTCGAGCAAGGCCGCCAGTAGCTTTCAGTCGGCCGTGAGTGCAGCTCCGGGAGGGTACATCATGAGCATCAGTCTGGGATCTCCCCCGCAGACGAGGACGGCGATTGCCGACACGGGAAGCGACCTCGTGTGGCTCCAGTGCGCCCCGTGCTCCGTCTGCTTCCGCCAGTCTGATCCTCTCTTCGACCCACGCAAATCGGCCACCTTCACAAGAATCCGCTACTTCAGCCCTTTGTGCGGCGAGCTGCCTCAGGTCTCGTACGACGGCGGGTTCTGCACGTACCGCTATGGCTATGGCGATCAGTCCACCACGCAGGGCGATTTCGCGCTCGAGACTCTGACCCTCACCGCCATTGACGGCTCCACTCAGAGCATAAACAATTTCGCGTTCGGATGCGGGAGACGCAACCAAGGAACCTTCGCGGGCACCGACGGCCTGGTCGGCCTAGGCCGGGGCGCAATCTCCTTCACCGAGCAGATTGGATCCCGGACCGGATCCAAATTCGCCTACTGTCTGGTGGATGCTGGCACTTCGGGCTCGGAGGTGAGCCCTCTGATTTTCGGAGACTCTGCCGCTGAGACGGGCAATGCATTGAATCTGAGCTACACGCCTCTGATCCGCAATCCCGCAGCCGATACGTTCTACTACGTGAAGCTCAATGGGATCAGCGTGAATGGGCAGCCCGTGGCCGGCATTCCAGCGAATGCGTACACTCTCAATGTCCTGACAGGTCGCGGCGGAGTGATTCTGGACTCGGGCACCACGATCACGCAGCTCGTCCAGTCCGCCTACATCCGGCTTCTAACTGTGCTGCAGTCGCTCATCGCCTACCCTCAGGTCGACGGCTCGCCCGTGGGCCTCGACCTCTGCTACGACGTGTCCGGCGTCAGCAGCCCCTCTCTCCCGTCCGTCACCCTCCAGTTCCAGGGCATCGACGTCGTTCTTCCTGCCGATAATGTATTTCTGCAGGTGGACGCGCAGGGCACGATGTGCTTGGCCTTTGCTGGGACCAGCGATTTCTCCATCATCGGCAACATTCAGCAGCAGAACTTCTACTATCTGTACGACGTCGAGAACGAGAGAGTGGGCATCGCTCCCTTGGACAAGTGTGCTGCTCTTGCCTCCACCGCAGCGTCCACCGGTGGCTTATTGGATGAGCTTTGATCAAGACCAGAGGGCTGAGCAGAGCTAGCACATGATAGATCCCTCTTCTAGTTTGTCGAATAACAATCATGCGTAATATTCTCATCTCCAACTGTGTCAGATGTCGACAGTGACAATCTGTATATATAATAGAAGGTGACGATTTGATCGTTTCCACTTCAGCACATTGGACAGCGGTTGATTCTAGAACGGATGAATGCTCGAACGACTTATGCTGATTCACATTTCGAACTCTCCAATCTCCCTTGGAAGCTAGAAGTTCCCAATCCAGATCCACAAATCAGGACGTAAAGCTGATGATGTATATGGTTTTCTTGTTTGCGACGCTCCAATCAAGGTAGTCACACTGTTTACCTGTACTGATGTACCCCCTCTACAAGGGTTTAGGTTCATGATGTGAATTATCAAAACAAATCTACTAACTCAAAGTTAACATTTCTATTGCTGGAAGATCTTCGGAATTCAGATGGTGATACATTGGCTGGTACACGATCATGTGAACTACTTCGACAAGCAGCAGCTGACACTTGTCGTTTTATTTTCTTGTAAAATGTCTTCATCAGTAAGTACAAATTGATAAATTATTTATTTATAAATATGTATATCCTTCATCTGAAACCAAGTGCGTGAAGAATATTCAAGCTAATATAAGGGACGATGGACAGTCTCTGCCATTGAAACTTCTCCATACATGCATTTTGCTGACAGACTGCATTTCAAAGATGCACTGCCTTTGAACAGGCCACATGGTCTCATTTGAATGGCTATCAATTTGAATGAAATCACAAGTGAACTCTTGAGATTAGCTATTGGAGCTACCCTCTTGAAGCTTGGGATTCATCAACTCTTGGTTCGTTCCCACTTTCACTGTGGTTCATTAACTTTTTTATTCTATATCTTTGTATGAATTTCTTGGTTATTAAATTTTGCTTAATATAATGTGTTCAAATCTTAAGTCTAACACGAAAGTATAAAATAAATTTACTTATTTGTCAAAGATATTGTTTTTGCAATTGGCTCACTTGAAAAAAAATTGATATCACTCAAATGGGGAGGGTGCAAAACATATGTTAGGGTACATTTGGCCAATTTCTAAAATATGATTTCATGTTATATCTTGTAAGAAAGAAGAGGAGAAATAGCTTGGGGCCTAGAAAAGACTTTTATATTGTTCTTCAATACTCTATAACTTTTTCATTAGATGGTGTATATTGATCTTTGAATCATAGTTTTAACAACGAAGTGAGGGAATGTACTTCGGATACTTTTGCTCATGAAGTAAATGGTTAACATGTAATAATAAACAAAGCTCTTCGGATCATGAATAAACTGTAGCATCCTCTGCTTTTGATTGCTGCTGAGACTTTAGTATTGACATGAAGAAGGTCTTCACGAAGAAATACACATACATGGAAGTGTGATCTGATTAATCTTTAGATTGCATTGAAGTTCAAGAAGGATAAAGTCATTCATCAATGAATTTTGATTATCAAAATTATAGAAACTCATGCATATGTAGAAATTTATCATACTTTAGAATTTGAATTCTTACTAACATAAAATTACTTACTAAATATATAAGCCTTCACTCTTGTATTTGATATTTATTTTTCTATAAATATGTATATATATATATATATATATATATATATAATTCTCTAGTAGTACTTTAAAGTGGTTTTTTAGCTAATAAACTACATAAAGAAGAATAAATTTATGTACTTTTTGATCTTGTATGAAAATACAATATAGAATAAGACTTCTGAATATTTGTAAATTTTTATTATTCAAATAGTAAATTTTAAAGATCACTATTTTCAAATTATTTTTTATTGATAGATTAAAAAATCATCAAATGAAAGTTAAAATTTCATTACTTAAAGCAAATTAACTAATCTTTAGTAGTATTTGACTGAATACACAAGGAATTACCTATACCTGGTAAAAAAAATGCAAGTATTTATTTCATCAAAATGTCAAAAAATTTAAGCTGCAAATTCATTTTATCATTAATTTGCTTCAAATTTGACTCAAATTTTTTTCCCTTGTGTATTTCTTATTTAGAATATTTTATTTTTAATTCTTGTTAAGACTTATTAAAAACAAACTATATTTTTTCAATAACAATTCTACTGCTTGATAAAAAAAAATTGTTGTTTATTCTATGTTCTTTGTCGTGTGAATATGTATTGGCATACAACCTACATCACTTGCATATCATAATCACACACATATATAAAAAAAAAAAAGCGTACACACAAAAAAGTATCACAACTTGCCCCCTAGCTGACAGATACATCCCTCTAACTCCTAGAGAGCATTATACATCTACATTATGACATACACCTTCGTGGTTGCGAAGATCAGTAGGTCGGGTGCCAAGAAAGCTCCATTGTTAGTCGCCTATCTGCAATCCATGTCACGTACAGATCAAGTAATCTATCGGTTCAAGTACATTGAGTACAAACTCATCGTCTAGCGGGAACAACATCGATATGGAGTCAAGCACAACATGTGCCAACCCCGAAAACACCTATCACATTATAACATACGGCTAGCATCACCAGCTAAACTACACAACATTAATCTCAAGCGAGTCCGTATCACAACTATGCTTGGATCCACTATACCATCAACGTTTGGAAGGTGGCATGGTGCACAGTCACGCATATGATATTTCCACACAATTTTGTCCTGATACTTCAACATGAGAACTCCAGAAGATAACACCTCTTGTAATAACCCACCAAAGGCTAAAACTGCAGTATAGCAGCAAAAAGGTAGAACCAACAGGGACAGAGGCAACACATAGAGTACTAAATGTCACGTTTTAACAGACTATTGAAGAGTTTGAATTCTCAGGCGACTGTCACTCCCAGAAATACTGCAAGTGCTCAACTCGAAGGTCACTCGGAGGACGCATAGTGCAGCGTAGTTCACCCCAACACACACCTGAAACTGGAAAAGCACAACTCAGAGGCCAATTAGGACCTCTCCTTAAGATTCAGGGGGAAAGTTTCTCACGAGTACATTCAAAGGATCTGCAGGTAGTGTACCCAACTCCGGATTATTAACTCTGACTGCTAGAGCAAAGCACCCGGGTTGGACTTTCTACTTCGGATGTGGTACCTTCATCAAACCGAAGTCACTCTCACGCGGTGAACAACACACTCAACTCACAAAACGCGCAGAGAATGCAGAAGTCCGAACTGAGGTACTATGTTGAGAAAAGATCCAGTGTCACAACTTAACAGTCTATTGACGAGTTTGAATTCTCAGGCACTAGTCATTCCCAAAAATACTACAAAGGCTACCCCGAAGTCGTCGTCTACAGCGTAACCTGAATTTACAACTAAGGCTTACTTGAAGTGACAAAACTTCACTTTGGCATTCAGGGGAAAAATCCCGAAGGAGTACAAATAGGAACAATCATCTGAAGGTGTAAGATCAAACTACTCAAGTGTCTAACCAGTACACTAGCTCTAAGCATTCAGCAATCACCCGCAGGTGTAGGTCCGAACTGCTCAAGTATCTAACCAGCACACTAGCTCTGAGTATTCGGCCGAAGACCTTCAGCTACAAAATGCGGTAACTTCGTCAAGCTGTAACTCCTCTTGCGCGGTGACAGAACTAAGGACACAAACGCGCACAGAAAATGAGTTCTTGGTCTGCACTTACGAAACTGGAAAAATCCCAAGGCAAGACGCCTTGAACTATTTTATACCTTCTAAGTCCTAACTACCTAACACTCTACACTACGCTACACACCGCGTCATCTGCTATGTCTCCTGCGCAACGGAGACTACCGCGCACTAAACCCCTACCCGATCAGTCTTCGGCTCTGCCGCGCAACCCCAGCCGCCGAAGTACCGTGATCACCTAAGCCTCGAGGTTCGCAATGGCGTCTTGCGACCTCGACAGAAAAGCATCTAACCTCTTTGCAACCCGCCGCCGACTCCGACTGTCACCCGACATCAAGTCCGCCGCACGAAGCTCTAACTCCCGTTGTGTGATTCTCTCCTCCGTAGCCACTTCCCAGTGAGTGTAACCTCTGAGACAGCGGTTCACTCGCTCTACCAACTCTTCTCGCGTGAGATCTATCGTGCGCCGGTGGTCGTCTTCAACTTATACCAACTGCAGCTCTGCCTCCGCACGTTGCGCTCTCAATTCGTCGCACTGCGATTGCAGGCGACGCAGTAACTCCTCATTGGCTTGGCGTGCGATCTGACACTGCTCTAGCAACCATGTCTGTCGCACGAGCTGCTCTGACAAGATGTGATTCTGAGCTTGCTCAGAATCGAGCTCCGCCTCGAGCTTCTCCCGCTGCTTCGCAGATTACTTCTGCGCTTCGTCCGCCTTGTTATCGCGCATCTGATTTACTGCTTTCTGCAGTTTTCGCGAGAGTGCGAGGTGTCCGCGCAGTGCGTCATTCTTCAACTCCAAATCCTTGACTGTCTTGTCCAAGTAAGCCAACAAAGGACTTGTCATGACCTTGATCCGCGTCCGATTGCGCACCAATTCGACGTAGGACCCCCGATGGCGGGAATCACCATACTTCGCCACCTTGCGATCAAGATATCGCAGCAGGGGTACCACCTGCTCGCACAAAACTCTTGTCGACGTGCCTTGCACCGACTCCTCTTCCTGTTCTTCCGAACTCGATTCATCCTCGTCATCCTCCGAATTGAGGATCTCGGTCGCTACAGAAATCTCAAGCGATTCCCGGCAATTGGGTTGCGTGGCTTTTGCTGCCGCGACTGCCGCTCCACTCCCTGCCAAAATGTCCAATGCGGTGGGAGATCCGGCGTCCGGCAAGTCCGCTCCTCCTGTCTAATCTGCTACCGCCAAAGTCGTCTACCGCCGAAGGCGCTTGTGCTGAAGGCGACTTTGCCAAAGGCACACGTGTCTTCTCCTTCCGGACTTCATCCGTTGCCGATCTCTCACGTTGGGCCTACGCCGAAGGCGCTTGACTCGAAGTCCGTTGAGCCGAAAACGCTAGA